TAATTGAAATTGTTTTACAATACAGAGCATGTTTATTACAAACTATGTAGTGGCTTAAGGTAGTGAAGGGCTCTCAAAGTTTATTTTCGAAATCAAGTGCAATTCTTTTCCCTAACTCCGGCACTAAACGGAATGTCCATGTCGGAATTTCTTCACCGTTAACAAATTACTCTCCGCGAACCGGGAGCGAAATTGCTCTGAAAATTTTGCTTGCATTCGAAACAACATTTATTTCGGAAAATAAACCGAAGCATTCGGTCATTAAAAGCGGTCTGCAATTCCGGCTTGATTACTTCGAAGGGCATTTATAAGAAACGTTGGATTTTCCCAGTTCCATTCCTGCTCGACCAGGATTAACGATGTAAAATAAATCGTTCCCGATACCAGCTACATTCTTAATTAACTAAATTTAGATCCTATATTATATTACTAGTACAATTATGAGTGTAGGAGTCCTGAACGATTACATTTCTCTCTTATTGAAAAATGTGGGATGTTATAAACTGTTGAAGTTATAGAGCACAATGGGAAACTGGAAGCTCATCTGTATCGGTTCTGCTGCGCTCGTTTTCCGGCTTTTCGCGATGCCAGATTTATGTTTTATGTTCGTTACAACAATGTGCGTCATGAATTTGAAACGTATCAAGGGGCGAGACTAGATAGTGGGAGCTCGAAATTATCGGATATATTAAGGGATGCCGGCGCTTTGGAAAAATTCACCGTCGCCGCCAAAGCGGAAGAATACAAAAATGAAAGGGATCTCGATAATATGTAATATTTATTGGGAGCCCGAAAGTTCGGTTTCTATACAACGGGAAAAAAGAGTTTCGGAAATTCTGGCGTTTCATTTTTTATTGAATGTAGCCCGTTTCGTTGATGCCGTAGATAAGTTTTTTGTATATATTCCGGAAAACTTAAGTTTACCGAAGGTGAAACTTTCTTGCAAATTGGATTACATCGAAATTTGAATGGAATTGTTTCCAATGTTTTTCCAATATCTTTTTTTAGGTCATCGGTTACTTCCACAATTAACCAATAGCGCTTATTGTGTTTATTATCGTTCTCACCAACAAGTTTTTTCGCTATTGCATGTTATTATGTCATATTATCCCTAAACCTCGTCCGTATCAAACCGCCTAATCCGAATCGGCCGTAACTAAACACTACTTTTTTGCGTAGGGATGTGTTTTTATCAAATCTTTACTGTCACGAACAAGCCGAGGGAAGCGGAGATACCCGGAAAATGAATAATCTCATTCCTGATGTAGGAAGATTGATAAATCCCTTATTTTCCGGTTTGGTCGGTATCGAGCAACAGGATCGGGCTTCGGCTGAAATCTAGGACAAATGCGTATGGATTTATCTTGTTCCAGATTCAAATAAGGAACGCTCACTTTGATACCATCGGATCCCTTTAAGTAAGTTTAGACCCGGAATTTAGAAATTTCATACTCTTCGCTACATTAATTAGTAGATCATTGTAATCAATTTTCCGGCTCAAACAATTTTGATTAGTACTATTTCCATTAAGAGTACTCTTATACTTGTTTATGAAGTTCGATTCTTATCCCTAAATGCGCTCCTGTAAACGAAGTCATTTTGCACGTGTAACGCATCTTCTGTATTAAAATGGCAGTGATGGAGCGCCCACTCTCAGTTTTTTTCAGATTTATCTTCGACGTCTTCCTTATCATACTTTCAATAATAGAGTGTTATATTTGATTGTGGGAGTTCAATTGCCGGATTCTGGAGGAGGGAGACGGGAGGGCCGCCACTTAATAGTGATTTATGTAAGCCCTACAAATTGGATTGGCCTAATTTGTAAGTCAAGATGATTCAGTTTTAGTTTAATTTATTAGTTCAGTAACGATCGATAAAGTCGCTCCTTGCAACGCTTCCTGCGTTTCCTGCTTGCCGAAGTAGGAATTATTCAAATGCAAAAACTATTGTATAGATTTAATTGTAAATTTTATGTGCCTCACAATTATCGTGGAGCATTTGCCACGTCTTTACATCGAAGTTCTTATCACAAATTTTACCACAATAAATTTTGTTTTAATTATTCGTTGAGGTGAAATGGAATAATCATCAAACTAATAATTCTTTCTTGAATTTTTTTACTGCTTTAAAATGCTCCTTTTTTGGCTGGCTAATGAATTCGGAGAGTATCGAACATTTGTTTGTGAAGTTACGTAATATTCCGCATAACTTCACATTCTCCCCGCACGATTTTAATTTAATTATGTGTTTAATAATTTCACGGTTGGAATTTAACAATGTTCTGCAAACAAATTGTTTAACCTTAGAGGAAAATACGGTATGCATAAAGAAGCGAATTAACTTTGTTAACGATGCAACGAACTGAAAATTTGCTGTAAAGCTTTCTCAATAACAAATTACATGGCAGGAATGCAGAGGAACTGTAGGTATTAGTATGAAACTAACGGGCAAAGTCCCTCACGTTTTGAGCCTGGAATTTGATCGAAAACTAGGTTTAAATATTCAGAAAATTTCATCCCGTTTTACGTAGATAAGTATAGCTAGTACTTATGTAAATTATATCAGTAAAGGTATAAATGATTATAGCATAAATAAAATAAACTTGGTAATACCTAGTTTTTTTTAAAGAAATTTTGGTAAAAAATGGCCATATAAAGATCACTTATGTGTACATAAACTAAACGGAATTCCTGAATTACGTGCGGCTGCATAACGCGATATGAGCGGTAAAATTCGAAAAGCAAAAACTTGGTCGAAAATTTATCGCATAAATATTTATTTTATATTTTATTTACGACCTCCAGGTGAAAACTTAAATTGAAGCGAAAGCCGAAGAGACGAAGACCGCGTCGTAAAAACACTGTGGAGTTTTGATTGGGTATCAATGTATAGTTGACAAGTTTTCATCGAAAAACTTTATTTATTACGTTATCGGAAGTTGTGTGTGGATGCGACGCGGAGTTTTACTATTCAAAAAAAGATCCCTAACTTTTTAAAGTTCTGTTCGGACCCGGGAGAAACTGTTTACGTTCGTTTTGCAAAAATGCAAGGTTGAAAAGTATTTATGAAATTATTTTTCTTTTCTTTCTTTGTACATACTATAAATTACGTATTAGAGGTAAATGTAATTTTATTTGCGAATTCTCGAATAAATCACGTATTAAATAATAAAATAAATTTCAAGGAAACAATTTGATTAACATCAAAGCTTTTATCGAATACCGAAATAATTTAATTTTATGTTGGGTATTCGGAAATAATTTGATTGGATTCAATCAATATACGTCTATTTAGATAAACTATTTCAAACTTTTAATGCAGCTTTTACAAACTCGAACGAAATTAATTAATTACATAGAAAGTATTCTGAAAGCATTTTAGCAGGTGAGTAGGTTTGGTAGATTATTAAAGAATTTGAGTGCAATTTAAAACAGATAAGACTCTGAATATTTTGGTATGCAGTTCTTTTAGAAATACTGTTATGTTGGGATCCGAATGCACAACGAGAAACTTTTAGTTTATAAATAAACAATAGTCTAACAAGAAAACTTCATGCAATACCTATTCCGAAGTTTCTTCCGAACTAAACTGAGGTAGAATTTTATGCATTTGTGCTTAAAAGTTCAATTACTTCGGAGCCATCGTCTCGATTTCAATAATAAATTATTTCCAATTTCCAATACATAAACTCCATAAAATATCATCGTTTGTAATGAGTTTTAAATTGAAATTATAGATTTACTATGAAGCTAAAAATATGCCAATAATATCTTAAAATTCAAAAATATAATAAATTTATTTTTATTCTTATCAGTGAGGTCAGGGACACTCTATAGATTTTTTGGAGCGGCCGAAAAAATAATTCAAATTAGAATTATTATTAGATTTAAAATAATGTACAGGGTACCCTTAAAAAGTTCCCTCTCTACGCGATCAAATTGAATCTATGTACATACATTAAAGTTTAAGCCAATTTATCCTGCCTATTTTTTAAGTTATTTGGATAAAAAGTCTTCATGAAAGAATTGTGTAGTTTTTATCAGTGTTAATGAAATGTAGATCAAAAGTTACGCTTCCACATTAACTTTAAATTTATTGTACCATATTTGGCAAACAATTTTAGATAACCTTCAAGTTTTATCGAATTTTTTCTATACGCCGAAATGCGGATATTGAAACAAACTTTTAATTATAAGTCATCAGTCGATGTTGAAAGTATTACAAAAAAGTGACCAGCATTCCCATAAATTTTAGCTGAAAGATGAACCTTTTAGTAATATTTTCCATTGTGTTTTGGTTAAAAATAGTTCATTGCGTTAATATATTGATTATTGACGACATACCTTCTCCTAGTCATCAATTATGGAATTACAGAATTGCGGAAGAATTACTGAGGAAAAATTATAATGTTACTGTAATCGGACCAAGAACAATCAAGCCTTTAGAAAATGAGAATTTTACATTGCTGGAACTTACAGGTAAATTCTTGAAATTGGAATGTGTACACATAACAGTCTTTCACAATTGCATTACTCTAAAATATATTCGAAAACTATAGAAATTTAATAATTTTAGGCATGTTTACTTCAATAGACGCAGACAAGTTACTGGATCCAGAATTTCTTCAATCTTTAACTTCGTTTGGTAACATTGATTTTTTGCAGACGTATTTTACATGCGCCTGTAAAGATTCACTTCAAGCACCGGCTTTAAAAAACCTCCTAGACTATCCTAAAGACTTTAAATTTGATCTGATAATCGCCGATTTGTCTGGAGGAATGTGCTTATTACCTCTCATTCAGAGATTCAATTATCCACCTGCCCTAGGAGTTGTACCGTTTTTGCTACCAACATATTCATCAGAAGAATTCGGCAACATTATTAACCCATCATTTCAGCCATTTTACTCTTCCAAATTAACAAACGAAATGTCATTTGCTGAAAGGTTAAAAAATTTTATTTACATACATTACGAATCTTTTCTTCGACATTGGTGTTACATGCCGCAATGGAATGCCATGGCTAAAGAAACATTTGGTAAAGACACTGAGGATATACAAACGATCGAAAAACATATACCTGTTTTGCTGGCTAACCTGATGTTAGGATTTCATTATTCACAACCGCTTACTCCGAATATTATACCCGTGGGTGGATTACACATTCGGTCTCCCAAAGGGTTGCCTGAAGTGAGCTGCGGTCCGAGATAAAAATATCAATTTAGAACAACGCGCTCTTGTTTCAGGATTTGCAGGAAATTTATAACGAAGCTGAAAACGGCGTCGTATATTTCTCATTGGGCACAAATATCAGAACCAACGAGCTCGATGTAGAAAAAATCGAAATGTTCAAAGAGACCTTCGGTAGGCTAAATGTTACAGTTATCTGGAAAATCGATTTTCAATTAAAAGATTGCCCGGAGAATGTTTATCTGCAGCAATTTTTACCGCAAAACGAGATTTTAGGTAACAATTATATTAAAATAAACAAATGCGTGCTTACGTTGTACTTGTATATTTTAGCTCATCCAAAAACGAGGGCATTCATTAGCCACTGCGGAGGACTCAGTACAATGGAATCAGTACATCATGGAGTACCGGTAATAGGAATGCCGTTTATAGTAGACCAGCATTTTCTCGGTACTTTAATAGAAAAACGCGAATTAGGAGTCATTTTGGAATATGAAACATTAACTGCTGATGTATTTTACGAAGCTATCCAGAAAGTGTTGAACAACGAAATGTAAGTACCACATGTTTTAATATGAAGTTATGCACATAATTTATATGCAGATATGCGAACAATATGAGAAAATTGTCCAAACTCGTCAGAGATCAAACCGAAACACCTATAGAACGTTCCTTATTCTGGATTGAATGGACCATGAGGAACAATGGTAGTAATTTGTACGAAGCACAATCAAGAAACATGTCCTACATAACCTTGTTATGTTTAGATATCTATTTATTTATTATAGTGTTAATTGCAGCATTTACGTTAGTTTTAACATATACTTTAAAAAAGTTATCATCAGTGTGGTGTAAAGCAACTACTCGCAGTTCAAAAGTAAAGGTAAATTAAAATAGTTTGTAATTATAATTATAATGATAATTATTATGATGATAATTATGCATACATTGTAATACATCTACATATTAATAAACTCTCTGATTAAAGTTTAGTAATTTAAAGTATGAATAGATTTCACGAAAAAATGCTTATCTAAAGAAATATGAACGTTTCAGAATTGCTGTTTTAAGAAGAATCAACGATTAATTAGTATTTCGAAACGTCGCCAGTTACCCGTTTGTGCGTATCTAATCCACATTCTCCATTTTTCTGCAATATTTCACCCAAATGTCATAGAAGCAAGACACGCCTTGGCAAATCTCGCCGAATTAACCATCGGGGGCTTCTAAACAAAAACCCGGACACGTTTCACCAAATAATTTTAATCCTTCGCTAAACCGCCCGTTTAGTCGAACAGATAGAGCCGAGGCTTTTTACATCAAGGATTACGACGTATTTACGTAATTATTAATTCCGAAGCGTGTTTATCTGTTTCGCTAAGCTTCAAAAAGACTAATTATTCAGTTGTGTGTTCCGCGACCGGAATTCCGCTGCTGCGAAAATTTATTGTTTCTTTCTGTCGGCTCTTTCTCGCTTGCAAGATTTGACGAAACCAGCGGGCCCGGTTTCCTGTTCAAATTAATGTTTTTTTTTTCATAAAATTGTTTATACGCCTTATTGGAAAATCTGCTGTTAATTAAATAATTCTCTCAAGTGTCTGAAATTTTATGAAAATAGACTTTTCGTAACGAATTTTGTGGTGTATTATAAAAGCATCCTTGACGTTATACACTAAATTAACTTCAGTTATCTGGTCTTGTTATTAACAAACATTTAATAACAATTCCCTTAGATCAGTCACTCCATTTGGTCGTCTAAAGTGATTAGCATTCCAGCTAGATACTTTCGTGTCAGGCTCATAGAAAATGTAATTAGTCAGTCAGCCCGTGCTCAAGAAAATTATATCAGTTTCCAGTCCTTCAACGCCATGTTTTCCTAATGAAATAATTATGACGTGTGTTGATCTGACAAAATGATAACTTATTCAATTACCGTCGAGTGCAAAAAACCGTAATTCGTTGAAAGTAGGACGGAATTTATGCCCTTAAATTAGGTATGATGAGACTTGTGCAATACTGATTGTGTCCTTGGGAAATTTCCTGGCAAGAACACTCGAAACTAATTTCGAAAAATAAAACTACGTCGTGCAAGATTGAACATGCCGTTGAATAAAAAGAAATCCTAGAATTGCGTTTCGAGGACAATAGTCCAAAAGGACCGCTAAGAGAGACGGGTGTACGAGCATCTTAACTAAATAATTAAATTCGAAGTGTTGAGGAGTTGTTTCACGCCCGGGGCGACCAAATATTTTGCAACTCCGTCGAGAAAGACGAATTTTTAGTACTTAAGGGACTGTTAGTTTTAATGCTTCGCAAAACTTTGTTCTTGGAAATTTAGTTCGGATAATTCCTAACAACTCAAAAGCGCTATTACTGACACTTGAAAGTCCGTCTAGTAAAAGATGGGAAATTCGCTCCATTCATATTACTTTTGACTCGTGCGGTATTATAGTCATACATTTAATTCTACTTACATTAGTAATAATTATGTATAATATTTGTAATAAAGTTTGTGTTTATTTCATCTAGACCTAAAATAGTAATTTAAAGTAAGTAGGAAAACGCGGCGAATTTAACTCGAAATATATTCGACCTTATTACCGAGGAAAGAGACTTTCATAAACAGAAAGCTAATTTCCACATAGCCGAAATATGTACAATCCTTTGTCCGCGGGGAAAATGCAAAACGTAAATGTAAAATTATTTCCTTTCTTGCAGTAGCGGGGCAAGGAAAAATTAAGGATTTCTCATTAAAACTTTACGGTCCTATTCGGGAGGATTATGATTATAACTGGTGAATAAGTCTAACGGAATAAACCATAAGGCTATACAGTGATACTAAAGAAGAGGATATACAATTTATGTTGAGTATGTTTCATCTTTCTTACTCGAGTTTTTCCTATTAGAAATTAACTCGAACCAGGTAACTTAAACGCAGTAATTAATAAATGAGGTAAATTAGTCATTAAGTGCAAAGGAATACTACTTTACTCCTTCTCCGTCTGACTTTCCTCTCCAGAAACTAATTCTAAATTTCGAGTGTACCCGCTCGCTCGTAATTCCTGCTAGGTATAACGATATTAATAAGGGCCTGCTTATCCGCAGTTATACAGAAAGGGATAGATTACGTGACGAAAAGTTCTAAACTGGATGCGATTCCGAAAGGATAATCTTACGTCATCAGGCGTGAGTTACTCTTATGACTTCGGCAAAGTATAGGCTCGAAAATTAGTATTGCTTTTGGGAGTTATTACTTTCCACTCCAGATCTCTCCCGTTGCGCAAACACACGCAGACGAAAAGTGCGTCGGAAACGCGCGAATAACCGAGAATGTAGTAACAGGCTCACGTATTAATTAATTATTCTTTGCCTACCTCGGATTTTCGATGTAAAAGTACATTAGAGAGTTCGGGCTTGATTAAGGTCGCTGTCGATTCGCACGGCGTAGATAATGAAATTAGCAATTTTAATAATGTTTTCATGTTTTGCGCGAGAAGAAAAACAAAATTTCCGAAGCCTAACGGCCGACCGAGCAACAATGGCCCCGTCGGAAACGCTTCCGTAAATTAAAACGAGTGCAGTAAGCTCATTAATGTGGTAATGCGGTTAGAGGACGAAAGGGCTTGTTTTTTTTCTCGGGCCGAAAAGGAAGAGCGGGCGCGTCGTCGGCTAATAATTTTATTAGGCGACGCATTTACATTTTCGCCCGCTTTTGTCGTGTAGGGCTTGATAGACGGAAAGTCTTTGAGATATTATGTTTATTATTCATAAGTTAACCGACGTCGATTCATTCAATAAACGGCATTGTCTAATGGAAGAGAACAATGGATTTGTTAAGTTGTTGGGGTATTTAATTTACTTGAATCAATAAGGCTCCGAGCCCACATTGGAATTTATTTGACGGTAACGAGGACAAATTTAGCTCTATTATTAAAGCATGTTCTTGATAACGGCATATTCCTAATATTTGCAAGTTGGAAAAAAGTTTTCTGCGTGAACATTGCGAAATTCAAGCTCACCTTGGACTAAAACGGTGACTTTCCAACGAACACGTACTTGCCCGTCGACAACCGCAAAACTTTATTCCGTTATGGGACTTTTATACATTCAGGAAAGTTTTACGGACGTCGGTTGGGAAGCGCATTGTGCCGAAATTTCTGATCGGTCGCCTCAGAAATTTCCACGGAAAACAAAGAGCGGTTAATTATTGTACAAGCCGCTGCGAGAATGTATACCTACCGCGCTATAGTGGAAAAATTTCGAAACTCTCATAAAAATATACTCGATTTTTACGATTTTTTTCGGATAATTACCGATCATTAGGATCGAACGCAATGCGGAGGCCTGAGTCGAGGAGCTGAGATTGCTTACGTGCGTTGTATTTATTATTAGATTTTTTGAATAAAATTCGGAAGCAATTTTCTAGGTGCGATATTCCAAAATTGAGTTTCCAACCATAATGTTGAGAGATCCAATACACAACACTTCAAAAGTATCATTTTGTCTTACACTCGTTTTATGCTTTTTTGCTTGAAAAATAAAGCCAAAGAAAATTGAAAACCACCAAACCGACAACTTCGACGAAAAATCGATACGCTACAATACAATGCAAGTTCATCAAAAACGAGATTATATACACTTTAAAGGTAGGCATTATATCACATATTTTATTTTTTGAAAAGCATTGCACTCTCAGAATTTTAAAATCGAAGGACTGCAGTCAACAGAGCTGCCATGTAAATTGCTGCAACTTTTGAACTCGGTAAGTACCATAAGAAGATACACCTACCTTCGAACTTTCTGCGCGACTAAATATGAATTTATGTGCAAAAATGAGCACGACTCGCTCTTTAGCCTGGGCATACAAAATTTCATTACGGTGCGAAAACTTTAAACGAGTAAACTCCTCGAGGTACATGCGTTGAACATTAGCGTCGGATAAGTTTCAGCTGAAAATTTCTGTATAAGTACGTAGAGGAATTTAACTTTTCAACCGGAAAATTTGCAATATATTTGGCTCGTTTTTGAGCGTTTAATTAATAGTTGCACTCGTACAACAAATAAAGTTAGAACTTATCTATAAGAAAAATTAGAGATATACTCTAATAGTCAAATAAATGAGTGGATGAGCTAAGTACTGATAAATTAACAGATCGAGGTTTTAGAGATGGAAATAAATTTATAACTTATAACTTTCGGCTAATTAAACCTCAGTTCATTTTTTCAAATTCCTCCAGCCGACATTTCTACAACCGCAACGTACGAGCCAGGTCCAGTCCGGTTCGGTCTAATTTAAAAAATTTTAATTAAATTTCTTCATAGGCATAATATGCGGACATCCCTGTCGACCGAGCAACTTCGATATTAAATTTGAGGAATTTAATCAGCAATTTTTGTAAACAGACATACTTTGCGAAAGAGAAGTGACTGTTGGGCGAAGTTCATTAACGATGTTCCTTGAACCTCCAATTGGATTTCATGCTGGAGAATTTGTCAAATTGTAAGTTTCTTTATTATTAATTTAAGATATTTAAAAATAAAATTATGTTGAGTGGAGGAAGGAAATTGTATGTTTTATATCTATATAGACCAGGTATTGAAATTAGCTATAAATTCCTAAGGCTTTCAAAGATTAAAATTAGCTGCCAATTACTCATAAAAGGTATCGTTAAAAAATTCTTTATGTTGAAGACGTTTAGACGTACTTTCGCTTCAAATTTTCAACAAAAGTGTTTTTTTCGAAGGCGGGCCGGATACGAAAATTATTAAAATCTTGAAGCTTTTCCCATTAATAAAAGCATCGAATTTTCAACAAGCTCCACGGGAGCTGGTAATTATTGGGCAAATTAAGGAGTTTATTATTTACCGCAAATTTTTCGAAGACTTTCCGTCTTGCAGGTTTTTCCCGTTCGAATAATAAATTTTCCACGCGAACAAACGCCGATATTGGAAAATCCAATGAAAAGTAAGAAAGTTTATATAACCTTATAAGCGTGCTTATTCTCCTAGAAATCAAGTATTTATATCTCAGTCCGGCACTCGAGGTGGATCAACTTTTAGAATAAATCCTTTGAATGCGTACGTATTGATAGAAACAAACAGCCATCTGGTGAAAGGATCCGACGATGCGGAAATATTAGGGACGTACGAGGAAGTAATCTTTGTCGAAATTTAAACATATATCTGTTACATTTACGGTTTTTCCGAGAATTCCCTCCCAATACGGATTTTCTGCAGCGGAAAAGAAAGCAGGAAAAATCTACTGGAAACTAATTAAACTTAGATACAGTTTTAGTTATCTCTTAACCCGGTCCAGTACAGTAAACAAGTTGTCTAGCTGTCTTTGGGTTTGTACTCGCATAACGAGACGTGTCGCCTGCAGGCGGAAAGAGAAGCGTCAAGGAGGAACGCAGACAATGGCTCCCGACTCGGAATACGAGTGGTCTTTAGACACAACCGCGCTCTTGTCGCTGGATTATATATGTTTGAAAATCCTCAACTATACCGTGGTGGTTAGACGAAGGAACGCTCCGCCGCTACACAGAACTCGACGTCTGGAGGTTGCCAGTTAGAGTCTGGTGCAGTTCAAGTATGTTCAAAACTATTAGATGTAACAAGTTTGGAATAACTTCCTTATAGTTTACGCAACGCTCGCTCTGTGCTCGCCATGATGCTGGGTAATTTGCGAAATTTATTTTTAATGTTCATATATCCTGTTGGAGGGTTAAAAATGAATCGAATCGAATATTAGGAGGTCATCGATTCGAGTGAATTAATGAAAACCTATTTCCCAACGCACAAAACACCCGACGGTCCATTTAACGAACCAATTTGACCCAAAGGTAAACTGAATTAACTACAGTGGTTTCGTTTGTATTGTGAATATAATATCACATGTACCTACACGAGAAATGCTCGTTGGTTACATATTTTTTTAGTTCCCGAAACTACTTTGACAAATTAATTATTAAAGTATCGCTCGATGATAAATCTAGCCCGCGCGGTTTGCTCCGCACGAAACGCGAAATATTCCGGACCATTTTGAAATTTCATATTCACTCCGCGCGGATTTCTCCTACACAACTCCCGACGACTCTCCAAAAATGATTTATATGCTAACAGCGCCCGAATATATGTGCATGAACTGTACAACACATTTATTCGGTATGTTACTGAATTTAACGAGCCCGATTTGCATCCGCATATCTCGCACTCCGATGTTCCGAAGGAATTGTCTCGTATCCGATAGGAGTTGCATATTCTATGAAGCCGCGTCCGCGGACCGGCTCGGCGCTGAGCCCGACGCCGCGGGACTCGGCCCTTGTTTTATGCATATTGGCATCAGATGGATGCGAACTGTTTCCAGCACACGCGTAGGTATGCTTAATTATTTTTCAGGACGGAGTGGATGTTATTCAAATCGACGGAACTCCGAAATTTTGGGACGGAGTTCCGGGAAACTCGCGGCGAACAACTGGCGCAACGGGTCACAGATTCTCGGATTCTCCTAACCTGTTTTTTTGCTAAATACATGACTCGACGATTCTATAAGAAAGAGGCTCTCTTATCTTTAGTCATTTTTTGGGCTATAGATTAAAGACACTGTTAACTTTAGTCACTGTTTTGAGTGCACAAAAATGACTCTCTTAACTTTAATCAATCTTTTGGCTATAGGAAAAACCGACTCTCTAATCTTTAGTCACTTCTTAGGTTATAGAAAAGTGACTATTAGATACAAAATTTATCAACTAAATTGCATATTAAACTGTACTATAGACAGCAAATTTATTAAACCATGACCTCAAAGAGATCATCGAGTGCAAACAATTTGCAACAACAAATTTAGTCGGCGAATGGCGAATATTTTATTCAAATAGAATTCGAATCAATTCATTTCGAACGTTCTGTTAGGAGCACCTTTAAAAATCGGAGCGCGGCGTTAAGGCAAAAGAATGAAATGTATGTAAATGAAGTTATTTACCCACTTTTAAATGGGTTTCGCTACAATTTCTATTGCCAGATTGATGGATGCGATAAGGCATTATTTTTAGACGGTTTTTACGGGGTCAATAGCCGAATTGCATACGTTCTAATTAGAGCAGGTGAATGAGGGTGTATCAAAACGCAATATCGCTGTATCGATATGAATAATAATGAAGGAAATAATGATTTTTTTTGTATGAAAAATCTGCTTATTTTCGATGGAATAAAGGGAGTTATTTTGAGGCGACAAAGTATATTGGAAAGTGTATGCAAAAGAGGTGATTCCTTGACAAGGGATTCTAAGAAAAAAAGTTGCTATTCATATCACCGTTTTTGATGTATAGTATTGACATTCGACGTCTAAAGTTATGAAGATATTGATAAATTGCAAGATTTTTAAGAAAGAACCAATCTACCTAGTAGTCTAAAAGAACGTGTACAGTGTATTAAATAATTTCAATTAAAGCGCGCGAAGAGAAGGTAATAAAAGAGTAGGAACCTACATTTGATTTTATAGTAGAGCTAGTAATAGAGCAGTAGTAAGATTCGCATTCGAAGCGAGGAACAGCGCGTTTCGGTGGGTTCATTTACTAAATTGTCAATGTAATATCGCGCAACTTATTCGCTAATTTGTTCCTCCAACCCCTCGGCGCCACTCTTAACAGGCGGTTAATCAAAACTATAACAAACTTTGATGAATAATGAAGGTTAGCGAAGGTTGCCGAATTACTAGCGAGGGTTTCATTAAATTTGAATATTTCGCGTTGAACTCGCAGAGTCGAAATTATAACAAAGTCGGAGATGTGACGGATGGTTGCGTGCTATCAAAAATTTCGCGCGAGTTTCATTAGCACATTCGCCCGCTCGTTTCAACTTCCATCCAAGGTGGAGTAGTTGGACGAACTTCGTTTCGTTGAGAAAATAAAGAAAAAATTGTTACCTTAAATTTCACTAACAACTTTTAACGTGATATACAGGGTGTAAGAACTGATACAGAGCAAAGGCGCGTAAGAGAGCTCAAAATATATTACATAATTACAATCCTGAGAAGTTATAGGGCTTCAAATTGGAATTACAAATTAAAAAAATATCTCTGTAATACTCGAACATAAAACAACTAAATTTGGTATACTTTATGAGTGTACTGAGAGCATTAATCGCTATTTAGGGGAGATCAATTGATGTATTTAAAGGGTTCATCAAGGATGATAAAATGTTGAAGCCCCGATGAACACTGAAAAGGCTAAAGAATAAAATCATCACTGCCCTGTGTCGGTTCATATGCGAACCACCCTGTAAAATTCTTTGTTGTTTTGTATCAGGGTTTTTCGCAGCACTTCGGCAAACGCCGCGCCGTATGAATTATGTCCGGAAAACTTGATACATGGCGAGCGAACTATCTCGCCCTATTTATCAAATAAATTGAAGAATTTTTCTCGGGGAATTTTGCGGTCGAAAAACCACCGAAGGGGAATCAACCACTTAAAAAAATGGCTATTAGTTGATACGGATACGGGCAAATAGCTCCTTAATGGCTTATTTCGAAGCGAAAGGAAACCTCTTTGTGGAATTCCAAATGTTCCACAAACCATACCGATAATATGTATTATACAGGGTGTTAATTGATTGAATACCGATACTTCAGGATGTGAATATTGGGATGATTTTAAGAAGAAGAGTTTATATCAATGTATGTCCTAAACCTCTTAGTTTTCGAGCTACAGGGTGTTATAGTTTTAGAAAAAAATAATTTTTTTGTCATTATTTTCTTATTACTTTAGATATTTTTATGAAATTTCGCACGTGGAGATAATTGTTAATAGTAGAAAATTAATTTTTGTCCTATGATAGAAAAGTTATTTTATTTCTGAAACTGTAACACCCTGTAGCTCGAAAACTAAGAGGTTTAAGACAAACTTTTCTTCTTAAAATCATCCAAATATTCACATCCTTGAAGTATAAGCACTCAATTAATTACCATCCTGTATTACAGATAAAAAAAATGTTTTCATATCTAAGAGGGCGGTTGAAAATAAAACAAAATTAAAAATTAAAGTATAATTAAAGTAACATAAAAAACTTGTGCGCACACAACGTACAAATACACACACTGAAAAATGTTCAAGCACTCGTTTCATTACCCCAAGGATCTCTTTTTGCATTTAATAAGGCGACGGAACTTTCGCAAAGTTTCACCAACAACTCGCCGAGCTTCTCCTTCGAGTACACCTAACAACGAACAAATAGAAAAAAAATCGTCAGTCGAGTTTAAATTGCATTTGCGGGTTGTCTTTTTTACACAAAGCGCGATGGGTATTAAAAAAATATCAAGACTAGCGATATCTAGGCGATAAATATTATCCCAGCAAGTTTGTTAAAATGAGTGTAAACAATTCATAACAATAAGAAGCATTTGTTAACGAACTCACCTTATAAATTCCGTGTTTTTCCGCTGCTACGATATCCGCCAATTGTACCGCTTCCTCGTGTTGACCCGACTCCGATAGTACCGCGTATAACAGTAGTACTATTTCTGGAATGCAGGTGGAGCGCAGGTACTCGTCCTCATCGGCTCCTACTAACCAACCGTCGGGAAACAGGAGGACATTGTACAATTTAGCTTTCGCGTTCTTCGCTAAATGTTCACCCGTCAATTTCCACCTGAAATAATAACATCCCAATTCAAGAAACCACTCAAAACCAAATTGATTCAGCCAATTTAGTACTATTATACTCCGTTCGCCATCAGGAGATTGTCATATAACCTAATTTTGTATACAAAAGACAGCAACTTTGATCATACCACTTGAAGGATGTAGTACTATCTCCTGATAGCGAACGGACTATAATTATAATTTACCTTCCCAGTTCGGCCTTGTATTGTGACTCCCTGTGTTGGTAAGCGACTTTCTCCGGAAACAAAGCGCTTTCCGGAAGACTTTCCGGAGCCATCGGACGGCTTTTGCAGTGCTTGAACCAATCGTTGAACGCATTCTGAGCATCTAAGTACGCCTTGTAGCACAAATATTCTTCGATCGTTCGATTAATCGAGTTGTCAACCTTGCCTAGATATAATTTAATTAACCGATGAATGATATTTATGCTGTAACAACTTACCATCGGATAAAATCTTATCGACGGTATCTGTAGGTATTTTGTTTAGTGCCAGTTGGGCCGCATCTAATTTCCCTAAGGTTAGAAATGTGAATATTAGGGCGTTTATTTGACGCAATGCTTCAGCCCTTTGTTCAGGATAATACAGGATCCAGTCTAAGCAGGATATTTTATATTTATCTATTTCTGTAATTTTGTGCTAAAAAAGATATAATTACTTATTATATTCAAGTAGTTAATTATAATCTTATCTGTTACCTGTAAATTGCCGCTCTCTTCAGTTTCGTGGGGCATATTTCTGACATTTTCAACCACTTGCTTAGTAATGGCCGTAACGTTTAATCCGCTATCTTCGGCGAAAGACAGGGCGTTTTGCCGCTCTTCTTGGTCTATAATTTTTTCCAAGTACTTAGCGTAAATGTGGATTTGATTCAGGGAACTCAGTTTGCTGACGTAGAACGCTACCAGTTGGGTTTCGTTCATTTCCATTAACCTCTTAATATAACTGAAAATAAATTAGGATTAGACAAGAAATTATTGCGTTCGAAATGCTCTTACGCTTCCAGAACTTTCTCCGATACTTCTCTGTTGTGCCCTTGGCCGATTTGATCAAAGAACAGTACCAAATGCGAGAGGAATCTTAGGAAATTCGTTTGCACGTTTTCTTCTTCTATCCATTCTTCGAATTTTAAGTAAAGCGCCGGAATTTCGTCCAGAATAATGTGCTTTTGGACGATTTGATCGGGCTTGCGAGCCTCTTCTCGTACTCTGGAGTTTTTAGAGGCCTCGAGATTCGAAAATATTTCATTCAACGATATCCTAAAGTAATAAATACAAAAATTAAATTGCACAAATTATCGATTCGACTTAAATACCTTTGGGACCAATATTCCTCAGGTAGAGGCAAATAATCGTTGTTCCTTCTGACACAATCTCTTACTTCAGATTCCACTCGAATATCGATCATTGTCTTTAAATAAGCCCACAGGCAATCCTCCCAGGACACGCATACTTTCAACATGGAGTTCAAATTGCCGCAGAACGTGGCGATTGTTCCTCTTTCGTACAAATTCAAATATTCCTAAAATATAACACGTTAATAAATTCAATATAAAACGAATTTTAGCATCTATCGAGTACTTGTTGACAAAATTTCATCGCTATATTCTTCCAAATATCTCTATTACTGTTCCCTTCGATTTCCTTCATCTCCTTCGATCCCGAACCATCCTCGGTGTTCAATCCTGGATTGAGTTCATCGTCTTCTTCGATGTTCGGATTATGAAATAGTCGCCAACCTTCGTACAAAGCAGCTTTCCACGAATGACCACAGTATCGACACAACTACAATTTTCATCAAAAAATAACCAATTTATTAATCTAAAACTCATTAATTTATTACCTTTTGAGCCTCATCTAATTTACCGCACCGAATCAACCTGAAAATCCTCTCCGATAATCTTTTATCGTCCTCCACGTCGAGATCGTGCAACGGTTTCTTCTCGTAATTCGGAGCGTCAGGATCCATGCGAGAAACGATTTGCCTGGTGCTTTTGAAAGCAATCGTATCGGCGCTTTGCAATTGATGCAGCGTGTTTTCCCAGCCGATAGTACTGTCTGCGAAATGGAGCACCTCGTCGTCTCGATCGGCCGCGTTGCTCTCCAGCCAATCGATAATCAACTGGATCTCTCGAACTAGATTGTCTCGTTTAAAGAGGTTTTGCACGCACAGTTTCTCGGATCTGCCGAAATATTGTACTAAGCCTGGAAGAATTGATGTTTTCGGATTATTTCGAGCTTCTACAGTGATTTAATATCATTTACCTCCATCTTCCATGGCATTTTGAGACATTAATCTGTCTTGGTAGAGTACGAACAATAACCTCCAAGTGTTTCGTTCTTTTTCCAGGCTGATCTCTTCCTCTATGCGACTGACAGCTACTTTCGATTTCAAGCTTCGGATGATCTCGAGAGCGTCCGAGCAGCACCGTGCTAGGTCAGTTACGATATCTAATATAGCAAACTCGCCTGAAAAAGTGTATATTTAAATTAGGAATTAAATGTGGCTGTATTACTTACCCGAGTGTGTGGAAAGTACTTCGAAGAATTCAGTGTACAAACTATCGAAGGTACCCTTCCAGGGAGCGGTGCTAGATTGAAGAACGTTCCCTGTTATAGATTGATCGGATTGTAAAATTTTGGAAACTGTGCTATCGTATGTGGAAAAGTCCCTTCTGATTATATCCTTTAACGCCGGTTCTACTTCGGTGGATAGTTCGGAAATATTCTCATTTCTGGTGCTGGTGAATTTCTTTTTGAATAAACCTCTACTAGGTGCCGACAGAGCGTCTTCCAGAAATCGCACCGATCTTTCCAGATCGTTATCCATGGCTTTTAAAACTTAATAATTCAAAAAATAACCAGTAACTGAAAAACAAACCTCGCAAACATATATAAAAGCTAGGTTAGGTTAGTTCGGTGACAGGCGACAGTTGACAGCTGTCTTGTCTTGAAGGATATACTACATAGTGTTAAAAGTGTTGCCTATCACACAGCGAAGAATTTTTCTGTGATTCTTTGCTTCATTTAAAATATTTGGGAACATGAGGGGAGCATGGGAAAAATATTTCAATGCAACTAATTATCTCTAAAATTTCATCAATATTTTCTCGATATTTATTTCATTTTTCGATAGGGATATTTTTTCGAAAAATCTAAGTACCCGAAACCATTCACTGAGATATCCAAATACCATTTTTTTTAAACTTCTGGTTTCATGTCTTATTTTTTGTTATTATTTGATATATTGATGCATGTTTCAGATTTATTTACTTATTTAGGAATATGTACATATCATAACCAACTATTTAATCAGGCTTATTCATTTATTCCTAGGTGAAGGAACTTTATTTTGAAATGACTCTTACATACATGTCCCGCACTTATCAGGCTTATCGTTTAATGCACATAGCATAGGTAACCAGATAAAACGTATTATCTTCGTATGCAGTTTTTCCACAAAACAATTTATTCGGAACACCTACACCTGAACAATTCAAATGCGCTTTCTTCAAACGCGTATGCGGGTAATTTACGACGTGAAATTTACGAGCTTCTTCTAATATTAGCGTCGAACCGAAGGCGGAAGGCTAAATTTCGAGAATAGCATAACGAAAATCGTAAATTGATTCCACAACAAACACGGCGGCCGATGAGACTAGTCCAAGTTATTTGAGGGGGCAACGTCCTAGCTTGGCCCTCTTCTTCATATCTTCATAACTTCCAGGCGGAGAGGCGTGATCTTCCTGACAAAAAAAGCCACTCAGGCGACCTTGTGCATGCGGATTGACGTTGAGGAAGAGGTCATAAGTAATATTAAATACTTGCTAATAATTAATTAATTAAGATTTTACTTCAAAACTATAATTATATTTGAGGAAAACTCTGGAAATAAATGCGCAAAATGTTGGATCAAATCTACCAATCATTTGTTGCAAGCAGCGTTTTAATTTGGTATTTCGAATAATGAAATGGCACGAGGTAATGCATCTAGTAATTTTCACAAGGTTATCAATATCAATAAATGACATGAGAAACTAATTTGGGATTTTCTAATTAATCGGCTCCAGGAACTCTATCAGGATCACACGATTTGATCCGGTTATGACGGATATTTTTCTTTACACTCGTTTATTTGATTACATACCTAATAAATTAATAGATCATATGAAAATTCTTATATTTTTTATATCCTTAAATTGCTTCGATAATTTTTCCTTCGTTCATTGAGGAATTGGCTTTAAATTAAGAATGTTGTTTTCAAATGTTACAAAGTCGATTTGTGCTCGACTGGTAGGTGGATGGAGGATAGGAGGACCACCAAAACTGTTTCACGTTGGCGTTGTTGCGTTGTTTGTAAACATACTAGCACCGGGAGAAAGAGTCGTATAGTTCAAATAAGGCGGAAAGTAATAGACGAGAAAAATGGACATAAGCATGAAATATGTTGCGGCTCAAATTAAGTTCTAATGAGTTTTTTTATTGTAATTTATGGCGTGGTGGTTTTTTTTCTTATTATTTTATGGGACTGTGGGTATGCTCTATGAGTCTGTTAAACCCTTAATCTTTTTTATTGGTATTAATTTATTTCTAATTTTTATTCAAATTTTCAATAGCCTACTTTACAAAAAAAATACCCAGTATTATAATTTTTTATTACTATCTCCCATGCAACGAAACTGAAGCGGTTTAATTGTCACAGTTTCACCGGCTTTCTTTATCTGACCTACAAATATCCTAATCTCTAAATTGCCCAAGAGCCAGCATTTGACCTACGATAAAACTTTTACCTTTCTCCATTGATGATCGTCATAACTTTCATTTTTATTCTCATAGAGTGCAGGTAAGTTATTTGTTTGTGACGTATTTTATGGAATCTTGTGCACCAGTAGGCAAGGCGATATAACTTTATGAGTAGCTGTGTACTCAAAAGGAAAAACCAACACCAAAAGACATACAATTACCAATTTTTTATACGATTTGTAAATATTTGTTAATCATTTTAACTATTTATTGTGTTACTATAATTGCTAGCAATTTTAAAAATTAAAAATAAAGAAGCGTATACACACAATGTTCTTAAAATTACCCATAAACCATCGATGTCTTTAAGAAATAAACCGCCCTCTCGGAGCAATCGAACCAATCCGATGCTTTTTTAAATAACCCATTATCAAATTACAGCTGACCATCGACAATAAAATGGTAATAAAAAAAATACCTATGGGCTCAGTTACCCGTGAAGAGCAGTAACACGACCCGAAATAAAAGTTCCTGGCTTAACGATTATACCTATAGGATGTACATACGTACAGAATCCATCCCATAGAATTAACTGTTATATATGTACAGCTTACAGCTATCCAATTTAACTAGGTCCAAAAGAGAATCCCGCGTTCTTTTGGATAAGATAAAGCAACGTAAAAAAACAAAGGCATGTTTAGCGGGGGCCGTCGACCCGGGCCCCGGCCGTTCTTCACGAGGCCCTTATATTCTCTTACTTTTAGGGTTCACACTTCAACGAAGGCATAATTTTATTGTGGACAGCCCGATTGCACGGTTAGTTGCATCTTAATTCCCCGCTATCTAATTCGCTATATAACCTCTCTTTCTCTGGGTATTATACGATTTATTATATCCATGAAAAATACGTTCGAATTTATGCATATTTCCAATTTAATTCTACATAGATATTGGTAATTTATCCGAGGAGAAATCGCAATTGCGTTTAAAACTTTTAAATAACAGAGTGAGCGGGCATATTAAGAAAACTTTATTGCCTTTCGATCTCTATTAAACTAGATAAATTAATAAGATATGTACCTATTGCTGGTTAATTTTCAGGATATCGATCGATAAACTTAAAGACTCGAGACGAGAAATATTTATCGATAAAAATAAGACGATTTTATTTTTAACCCATCAAAGTAAAGACACAGAAAGAAAGTAATACTAAAACGACCACACAGCATCTAATCCTGATATAGTTCGTGCAGAATTTACTCTACTACATCTACTAAGGATAATTTAAGTGAGAACCAGATGATTGAGATGTTCAAGCACTATATTAAAGCAACATCAAGCCAATTCCACCAAGGATATTTTATATTTTAATAGAATAGTTATAAAGCGAGTATCCTTGGGCAAGGCAGGAAAGATTTCGCTCGCACTTTTAATTTCTATCTCGAATCATTTAGCATCGTCGGTTTCGAGAGGCAGGACGAAGGGGTTCGAGAAATCATGATGCCTTTCAATTTCACATACCTGGCTTTTAACTACGTCGAACATATTCATCGGTACTCCCGTTGAACTGAATTAATCGTTAATAGGTAGATAGATAGCCGACATGTTTCGTATTTTTTCTGTAATTGTATATTCGCATTCCTATTTGATGATATTCATGAAGTGCAATTATCACAGGCGTCCCCGAGGAGGATTATCAGGAAATGAGTTTCGGAAATTGGCGCTTAAGATATCAGTGTAAATGTAGTAAAAAATATTTTAGGAAGTTATGTGTTTGATATCTTCGAAAATTTCTGGTATATTTCGCATGAATTTTTAAAATTATCTGCGCTGTTTTATCCTCTAAGCGAAAATGATTGAGTTACGTCGATGGCAATCAATCTGAAGCTTTTTTAGTTAAATCGATAAGTGTCAGCTGAAGTTGGAGAGCAAGGTGCCTCTTTATTTAAACGGGAGGAGCTCCATTATAATAAAGTATAATTTTCTATTTCTCTCAATTATGCCATTTTTTATTCGGGCATAATTTCGCGATTAACTACGTGTGAAATCAGCTTTATTACCTAATTTCCATTAAAAACGTTCTTAATTCGTAATTCCGCGAAAGCTCGTTTCGTTCGCCAACAGCCGTATTTATTTATCCTTATTTGTTCGGTTTAATCGTGTTTACTTAGAGTTAAAAATAAAAAGAGTATCATAATGAAAGTGAAAGATGTTTACGAATAAATTATGAGCTATTTAAAAAAAATGGTAATGGCCTCACGAGCTGAAAAAAGAGAGGTTTTGATGACTTTATTAACGTAAGCTTTTCGAAAAAAATTGTAGGTAGGAGGCATTAATAAAATTGTGGTCAAATCATCTGCTAATTAATACCTTTTTTTGTGGGTGATAAAATTAAAACAAATTAAACTACTAATGCCTAGCAACTTTTAAGATATATTCTTTTTAATAGCTTCTCGCCAGGTATTTGTTTAAATAAAATTTGTAAGGTAGTATTCACAAATCGAATACTGATCAATATTCTAATATTTTAAAAGCAAAGTAGAAGCAACTTTTTAAACAGGGATCTGAAGTATTCATCTACAAGAAAATAAATAATCAAAACACAGCGAACTCCAATTTTAATTTGCTCGTTCAACAAATCGAGGCTTGTTGAAGCGAATGCCAGACTAATTAGACGTCGAACAAATATCCTCTTATGCATATATTCATGCATTACGACCGAAATGCACCATTTGAAGTCATCAGTGCGCTGAACGTTTAATAGAGAAAATCCTAAACGACCAGAATCTTCGCCATCAAACATTAATCATTCGCTTTAATCGCTTAGGTAACACATGTTTTCCAGAATGTTTTTTTTATATTTTCCATTAACACACGAATTTGCTGTTTTAATAACGCTAAAATAATTCGTAAAGTAAGCTTCGAAACTATCGGATACTTCTCACTATATCCCAAAAACCTAACGAATTCACCAGCTAATTTCGTATGGATCATACGTCGTTAACCTCTTCAATATAAAAGTAATTACCGGCCGGCGCGCCTCGAATTCGACAAACGGGCGCTGGGAAAGGAATGCGGAAGGCCGCCGTGCTCGCATAACAGGGTTGAAACGTAACGGTACCCCCCCTTAGGATAGGTTAGTGCAACCCTTTCTCATCTCGCCTCCTC